GTCCACTGCCAACATAGTGGTTTTTTAGCTTTTTCCAGCTCGAGGGCAGCCATGTATGATGCTCATACACTGGATTCTCGTGAAGTTGCTGCTCTTGTGAACAAACTATGTTGCCTTTGTAGCTTATATTTTAGATCAGCAATTCTGGCAGCCCTAACATCACTAATGTGCTGCACATATTTATCTTGACGATGGGCGTAGTGAAGACTGTACTTCTTCATGACAGAGATACGCTGTGAGCAGTCCAAACACCGTGGCATAACTCTGTATTTAACGAATAGATAAATTCCAATTTTCACTGAACATCTTTATTGTCAACCTTTCACTTTATCATTTTGTTAATGTTAGCCGAACGTTTTATTATAGCCCACGATAATCTGCTGTCACTGCAACAATGTGGGGTCCCAAGCTCCTCGTAGCAGTCTGGCATGATGATGTTCTAGCATAAATTTTAAAGTATTTTTATTTTGTTAGTTTTTTATACATAATTTGAAAATGTAAGCACAGCGGGCTGCCCATCCCTACTCTAGAGACATTATGACTGTCCGCTTATGGAGTGCTCTGCTACTTGGTTTGCAGATAAGAACACGCCGACATGCACGGACTGTATAGGCGGCAACTGTGAGAACAACATCCTCCCAGAGATTCTGCGTGCAAAGAAGTTAACTTCTGGGTACTTTGATGTGTTTAGCGGCAAGAAACCAACAGGCAAGTTTCTCAAAATATCAAACCCATCTATAAAAAATTAAAGTATCTATAAGTACAAAAAGCCCAAATATAAATGAAAATGTAAAAATACAAAGTGAAAACACTCATGCAACCAACATGCAACCAACAATGACCATGATTTGGATCCCAGTGGATCCCAGTTTTCTGCATCCATACAGGACGCTTTATATGACATTTCTTATGACTCCAGGGAAGGGAAACTAGCCATTAATTCTCAGTCACAACAGAAATACCCATTTGCACAAAAACCCTGTAACTTAGGAAGCTTCTCCAAATGCCTCCCTATCAAACTACACCACCCTCATTTGTACAGTATGTGAAACTGGCACAGCAGACAGCAGCAGAATGTCCTGAGACGGGGGCTTTTCCCTGGCCGACTGTCTTACTGCTTACCAGTGAAAGGCTCAGTTCCATAGGCACTGCAATAAAAGGCAGGCTCACGCATAGACCAAACCATAAACTAAATTATGAACATTTAGTGTTTTTATAATAACTGTTTAGCCGTATTTTCCCATATGTACCTGTTTTGTTGGAACATTCTTGTGTATAGATGTTAATGTGTTAATAAATGAACAGTTACTCGTCTGATTGGTTGGGCCACTCCTGACCTCTGTCACTTACTGCATGTGCATAATTGTGATGGCAGTGAATATTGCCATAGTAACAGACACAGGCTGCACCACAGCAGTATCTGAGGGGTATCATGCCAGAGAGATATCCAAACATGCTCCACACCTTCACTTTACTCATCTTCACATGGACTGTTTCCCTTCTTATATTCTGTCTGAAGGAAAATGCAGTCATGGTGGGTTTTTTGACCAAACCAGCAAACAGAAGCCCGTAGGTGGGATCAACAAAGATGCTACAGACTCAGAGCATGGCAATCGACATGTGGATGCTGCCAACATGGCAATGACCGCCACCATGGAGCTTCTGGAAGACATCCGTGGAGCCGTTGGAGATATCAACTTCCTACGGTACGAATGTGTCAGAACCACAGCAAGGCGGAGCGACTCAGCGACGACACAGGCAATTCACATACTCTTTAGTGACAGCAGAGGCTAATTCACATATTCTTTAGTGACAGCAGAGGCTGATTCACATACTCTTTAGTGACAGCACAGGCTGATTCACATACTCTTTAGTGACAGCAT